GCATGATGTTAAGAAAGTTATTATAGAAGGCCATACTTTGTACAATAAATTTATTTACCCAAATCAAAATATTCATTTGCACAAATCAATATTTTGATCTATGCAAATAAAAAAATTTTGATTGGTACAAATAAAATTATTATACAAAGTGTGGCCTTCTATAATAACAGGCTTTAACAATATGCAAAAACAGCAACAAAAATAAAATTTTTTATTTGATTGGTACAAATTTAAAATTATAATTATTTATAATTTATACAAATAAGTATACTTATCAATCTTTTATTTGCACAAATCAAAATAATTATCATAATTATTAGTATTTTAACAAACATACTTTACCTTGTATCTCCAGTATTTTTTTTAAACGCAAAACCGAGAAGGGCTAATTTCTTATCACTTGCAGTGTTGAACAAACAGTTAATGATACGATTTGCAAATCTTTTGCGCTGGTACTCGTTCATTTCAACTACTTGATGCCAGTATGCTGCCACTTCAGGAAGATTTAACGCTTCACAGAGATACACAAGATTTAAAACATCTTTTTGAAAACAACTTCCGCCAAATCCTAAACAATTTTTTTTATATATAGTATTACAGGCTTTCACAAGAAGACGTGCGATTTCACGTCTTTATATGACCACGCAAGTTACATTTTGCTATGACGGTTTGACCGCGGCTAATGCAAAAAACATTTTAGAAACGCGCTAAATAAAAAATATTCTAAAAACGTGAAATTAATTACTTCAAAACTTTTTAACAAATGTTTTTATATTAGCGAAACGATTTTAAATAAAGCAACAGTTTACTGAAAAAAAATTTTGTTTTTTAAATATAATTGACAGTTGTATATATTTTTTTAATTTAAAACATATAAATTGTTTAAGTGTTCATTTCTAAAATAAATCTTATTAAAAAATAAAAATTGTAATATTGTTATAAACGATGACATTCTACGACTACGAAAATCTCTTTAACGAATTTAAATATAATAATGATTAAAGTTAATGCATTTAAAAAAATAAACAAAATTTCGTTAAAAAAAAAGTTTTAGCAAACCGTTACAATTTAATAAGTTTGATCTTAAATGCTTTTATATTATCGAAACGCTTTTAATGAAGTAAAAAAAAAAACACTTCTAATTAATTTAAAAAAACCTATTTATAAAATGTTTTTTTATTTTATTTATATAACTATGCATTTTTTATGAGAAATATTTAACTTTTGAACATATTAAACAAATAAAAAATATATAAAAATGTTGAATATATATATATATATATATATATATATATATATATATATATATATATATATATTTGTGTATATATATATATATATATATATATATATATATATTTTTGCTTAAACTAAGTATATTTTTTTATTTTCTCTTTCGTTAATATTTATTATTTTTTAAAATTTTTTTTTCAGATAAGTTTAGGTAAGTTTTTGTAGCGCATTTTTAAAATTTAAAAATATGCCATGGTCAAATGGTTAAAACATTTTTTTTTTTGGGTGGTCATATAAAGACATGAAATCGCACGTCTTCCTGTGAAAGCCTGCATTACAAAAAAATATTAAATTATTTTTTTATAAAGTTATTACTTTATTTAAATGTTTTTTAACTATAATTAATTGTTACTTATTACATTTTATTGGATTTTTAACTTATTTTTACCTGTTTAATGAAAATAAAGATATTTTATCATTTGGACTATACTGCAAATTAACTTTTTTCATTTAATTTTCATTCAAATTAAATTTAAGCTTTTTTATTTCTATACTAAATAAATTGTGAAAGAAGTTCAATAAATTTCAACATGCAGTGAAATTCTTGTAATTCAAAATCCTATTATTCGAAAAAATTATTTAAATTAAACAAATTTTTTATTCACTTTCACACAGGGTTTAATAGTCAAATTTGAACTCCTATAATGCAAACATATTTTGAGACCTCTTAAGGATTCAAATCACATGATTTCAACTGTAAATTAAAATATTTTGTCCATTAACACAATAAACAACTTAATGAAAGCTGTTTGCTAGCAATTTGTTTAATAAATTAAAGGTAAAAATTGTTGTAAAGAAACAAAATAGTTATATAATTACCAAAAAAAGAAGTAAAAAAATTAAGTTTTGCAAAAGATTTAAAAATACAAATTAAATAAACACACCAACGCTGGCTTTTAAAAACTTGCTTCCAATCCTAGAATCCATTCCAATAGCAAATGCTACTTCCTCAATGTCAGCTCCAGTAGATTCACAGATAGCACTCATGGCATTAATGCTTGAGATTCTTTGAGCAAGAAATGCATTTGCAGCCTGAAAATAATCATTATACAAGTAAAAATGTTTATTATGTTATACATAAACCATAACATTTTTACAAAAAAAAAAAAAAAAAAAGTAATGGTACTAACAAGTTTAGAAAGCTCAGATGACCAAGTATTCATTTTTATAATTCTTTCTTCTGGTACCCATTGTTTGTAAACGGAGGCCAAAGCATCAATGGCTTCACGCCCTTCTTTGGTTTGCTCTCCCCCTTTTAAAATAAAATGAATAAAAATCTATGATTAATGGTATTTATACTTGAAAGAGTTTTTCAACAATAAATATTTTGCAATAAAAATTAAAAATACCAATTAAAACTCGATCTGGTACCAACAAATCCTGGATTGCTGTTCCTTCTGCTAAGAATTCTGGATTAGATAAGACCTGGAAAAAAAATTAACTTTTAGTGATACACACTAAATAGCTGTTGATTTGTATAAAACCTCTTTTTATTCAAAAACAAGCTTGACGCTAAAAAAGATAAAAAAAAAATAAATTCTAAAAAATAGAAAAAAAAAAGTCATTTTAAATATTCTTATTTTTAAAAGAATGATAAAAATGAAATGCTAAAGCTCTAATCTTACTTCATGCAAAAGATGCAAAAAAATAATAGATGCAAACAATAGGAAACAAAAGAAACAATTTAAATTAGTCTATGGATGAAAACCTAATCTTAAATTTTATCATATTCAAAGTTATGGTTGTATACTATATTTTAAAGCATTAGTTGTGTATCTTGTTTTAAAGTTATTTATTTATCATAATATAATACAAGTTGACTGGAAATTTTTTAAACATACAAAAATATTTTTCCCTTGTTTAAGGAAAACAAATCTATTAGGTATAAATAAATAAAAAAAATGGTGGTATATTAAATAATTAGACACAAGCACTCACATTTTAACAAGTTCTTCATAGAGAGTTACTTAAATAAATAATTGATAACAGGTGATACAAATTAACAACCTACAGATTAACAACTTGTTGTATATGTTATTTACTTGATATGTATTAGCACAGATATTTTTTCAGGGTTGAGTGAGTTTTAGTGAATTCTTTAGCCATATAAATTTTAAGTTTGTTAATCCATATCAACAAAAAATTTCAAAACACAATTTATTTTCTTTCTTAAAATTTAATAACACCATTAATACTGTTACTATTATTAGAAACCTAAAAAACTAATTACCGCATTAAATATCCTTTATAACTTTATACATTTGTAAAAAACATTTTAAGAGCATTAATACAAAACATTAACAACTAAACTTTAATGCAAAATAATGTTAAATGCAAACATTTGTTTAAAAATATTTAAGCAAACTTTGTTTTTAAAACAGGAATAAGTTTATCATAAATAATTTTTCTTATTTATTACATCTTTTCTTAGCAAGCTTAAACTTTTTAATGAAAGTATTTTACTTGCGATGATAAAATTGTTTCAATTATTTTTACACTGAAAATCAAAAAAATTAAAAAAAAAGAACGCAGTTAGTTCCACAATCAATACTGAAAAAGAAGCATTAGCAATTTTTAGAGAAAACAATATGTATCCAGCTTATAAAATAAGGCAAAAAATTTATGCATATTTCATTTTGGAATACAAGCTAATGATTACTCAATCTGCTGAACCTTATGGACCAAACCACATATAGAATTTTTTAAATATGCAATGAATATGTAGAAATTGCTGAAAATTATTTACATTTATACACCAATCAAATAAAGGAAGATGAGATAGGTATTAGTTGTGTAGAATTACATCATTTCTATCATGATTTGTTCTATAAAACTTAAACTTTTAAGTCAAATGTATCAGCATCACAAATTCTCTCTTGATTTTCCCTCTTTCTTCACCTTGCTGCAACATATCAATTGAAGAACAGATCTGTTGAGTGCATAGCAGGCAAAAGAGCACATGTAAACATTTAAGTCCATTTTATAAGCAAATTCTAGCTTATTGATTTGCTCATAAACAATTTTTACTGATAACTTTAAATTATCAGACTCAACATAAAATTATTCATATCTTAATTCTAAGCCATAACACAGAATACCTGAACTGTACAAGGTGTTTTAATACAATTGTCGTTTATTCCATGTTTTGAACACCACATTCTGCAGTCTACTAATTATGTTTATTAGCTTAACAATTGATGATATAATTGAAAAAACTTATAAACATAGCTATTATCTATGTTTATAAGTTTGACCATTGATGCCATAATTGCAGGAACTAACCTAAATTTCTTTTAAATTGTTTATTTAAACTAAAAAATTAAATTCATAGTTTGGTATATCTTTAACTATTCACATTAATTAAACTATTGAAAAAAAGTTTTTTAAAATATGCATAATATTAATCACGAACTTGTGTTGGTGATGTGTACTTCATTGGTTGGTGATATGTACTCCACATATATCTACAACCAGTGTGTTAACATTACTATTATTTATGAATATTTATACAGGATAGGTTTAACAGTTAAAAAGATAACTGCTTTCAACAAATGTTCTGATAAAAATACATTAGTAAAATATAATAATTTAAAGATAAATATAAAAATTTTAAGAAATATCAAAACCTAATAATAAAAGAATAATGTAAAACAAATATGAAAACTAAAACATTAAAAGTTTTGAGAACCAAGTTTTAAAGCTTTGAA